CCGAAACCCCTTGCCCCCCTCCCCATCCTCGACTCAAATTCTGCTGCATCCCTCTCCCCCCAAGTGCGCGCCTTGACCATGTCGCCCTTTGCATGATGCAGGCGCTGTATTGTGCCGCCGTATCGCGAAGTTATCTCTATCGAGGCCTTGTCGCTCTGCACCTCGCACACACGCTGAAACTCCTCTACTATGTCCCCCTCCTGGGAGTTGTGAGGGGGGTTGCGGAAGAGGGACGCGATTCAAGAGGAGGGGTCTCAGCCGCATGCGATTGACACGGGCAGGGCAGGCTGAGGTCACGCCGCCGCTGCTGCAAGGAATGTGAACGGCAGCAGAGCACCCGCAGGTGCGCCCTGGAACGTCATCACTGGCAGGGGCAGCGGGAGGAGCAGACACGGCAGCAGCAGCAACAGCAGGGGCAGGAGCAGCAGCAGCTGCGGCGCCCACCTTGACATGCCACTCGACAAGCTCGCACTCGCTGATGCCCTCCCCGGTTTGGGCCAGCGGGAACGATACCAGGCGCCCTGTCTGCGGCGCTGCGCCGCCCATGCGCCGCACGGATCGTAGCAAGGCACTCGCCGCGGGTTTGCGCGGCATGTAAAGTGTGTGCCCAAGCTGCGGGGTGCCGAGGCAAGGGTCGAGAGCGGTGCATGCGCCCAACAGCCCGCTAGCGCTGCTGATGCCGCGACCTGGCAGGGCGCCACGAGCCCGTGCGCGAGAGGCGAGCAGCGTGCCGAGGGCACGCGAAAGCAATTGATTTCGCATGCCTCTCCCTCAATACGCAGGGGCCAAGCGGTGCTGCAGGGGAGCTGACGAGGATGATCAGGCGCCAATGCGTTCGCGCGTGCGTTGGGAACTTGGGATGTGCTCGAATGATCAACTTGAATCTCGAACATAAGACTTTCCATTAACAGCTCTGTTGCTTGCACATATGACTGCAGCAGCGCTCGCCTGCCGCGGTCGTGCCCGTCCGCCGTGACGGGTGGCGCCCTTGTCAGCAGTGGCCGTGCACCAAGGGAGTGCCCACACGAGCGCTGCCTGGTGGTGTCCTGTGCAGCCAAAGTAGGCAGTGCACCTGCCTTACAGCACTGCAGTGTAGTGGTTGTTTCGCTGCCCGTTTACCCCCCGACTTTTGACCACTCGCGAGTGCGGTCCGACGCCTTTTGTTCCACCAAGGTCCTAGTACAGCCGCATGCAACCCCTCCAGCTTCATATGCAACCTGAATTGAAACATTCATTTTGCCATGCGCGCGCTGGTGCACATGCATACGGCTGCCAGCTGACAGCAGGTGCCTGAGGGGCAATCCTCTTGGTCATCAAAACAGTGCTCATCACTGGCTCACCAAGACGTGCATGGGACCCCGGTCGTGTCCCAGCAGCAGCAGCAGAAGTTACAGGCAATTCTGCGGGAAGCCCCAGAGCACACAAAATGCTCTGGGCGGGTAGCCAGTCAGTCACATGGGTGGCAAAAATGCAGCCATGTTGCATGGCACCCTATGCAGGCGGTGCACCTGCACCTTGCCTCAAAAGCATCGGCATGTTGTGGATGTTGTCCTGAATGAGAAATTCCGCTGCACTCAGCCAGCCTGCTGAGTCGGCAAGACCGGCACAAGTGGCTGGTGCCACATGCAAGTGACGCCAATGTTGACTCATTTCACCATGTCGTTCCGGTCATCAAATCTGTTTTGTGGTGCAGGGGTTACTTCAAAAATCGCTGCTGTCAGCAAGATCTGAGCGCATCCAGAGCCACTGGCAGCGCACGATCTGGGCGAAAGTTGCTATTTGCCTATGTTGGAAGGCCCACTCTGATCAATACACATAACAGGCGGCTTTCACATCGCTGGGCTGCTGCGCCTGCGCGTTTTCAACCCTCTGCGAACCGCAGCAGCAGCACACTGCTGTCGTGCAGTTGGCGGCAGTGCTGGCTCGCCACGCGGCTCTCGCCCACGGCGGGGTGCACGTGTGCGGGTGGGCTGCTGCTGGTGCGCTCCACATGGCTCCCAAGCTCTTCAACCCATTCGCAGAAGAAGAAAAGGCCCAGCCGGCATCTTTCAGCTTCTATTCGGACCCGCTGGCCGCGTTTGCGCAGCAGCCCCCGCCGCAACGCGCCCCGCCGGCGCCGCGGCCCACGGCGGCGCCGCAGATGCCAGGTGCGAGGGAGTTGCGCGCGCGAGGTCGCGGGCCTGTGCTTCATGCAAGGCTCCCGTGTGTAAACCTGTTCTGCATCCTGGGGTGAGGCGGCTGACCATAGTGCGTTGGTTTGCTCCATGGCCCCCATTCGTCACCCAACCGCCTCGCAGGCATGGGCATGATGAGCGGCGGCGTACCCGGCCCGCGGCCGCCGCCTGGCGGCCCGACAGCTTTGCGGCCACCGTTTGGCGCCCCGGCTGGGGCTGGTGGGCCGCTGCCACGGCCGCCATTTGGGGGGGCGCCGCCCACGGGGCTGCCTCCTGTCATGGGTGGGCCCTGGCAGGTGCCGCCGCACCAGCAGCCGCAAATGCCAGGGCCCTTCCTCGGGGGGCCGCGCCTGACGTTTGTGCAGCAGCAGCCCGGCGTCGGCCCCCCGATGCTGCCAGCAGCCGGTGGCGGCGGCCAACACGGAGGCGGCGGCGGCGGCCGTGGCCGCGGGAGGGGACGGGGTGGCGGCGGCAAAATGCCGCGGACGGGCGACTTTGACAGCGGCAGCTTTGACAGCGGGAATAGTGGCGGCAGGGGCGGCGGCGGCAGGGGCCGGGGCGGCGGCGGCGGTCATAGCGGCGGCGGGGACATCTCTCGCTATTACTCGCCCGCTTTCAGCCAGGACCCCTGGGCGCCCCTCATTCGGCAGCTGCGGCTGCAGGCGGGCAAAAACAGCGGCGGCGGCGGCGGCGCTGGGCCAGGCGGGGGCCAGCAGGCGGCGCCCCAGCAGCAGCAGCAGCGGCAACAGGAGGAGGAGGTGGATCGGCAAGGTCAGGCCGAGGAGGAGGACGAGGAAGAGGAGGAGGTCGACGAGGACGACAGGCCGGATGAGGAGGAGGCGCTGGAGTGATGTGTGCAGGCGACCCGCCAACAGAGCAAAGCAACGCTCCCGTGTGCTGGCGGCTGCTTGTGGTGCCAGCACGGTGACTGTAATCCCGTTTGATAGTTGCGTTGTGATTCGCGCGCTCCTTTACTTATCCAAGCGGGCGCGATCCAGGATGGTATACATGGCTTCTTTTCAGTCATGTGAGCTACAGCTTGGTCAGCACGACACGGGTCATGCCGCCTCGCCTCCTGTGGCTCGACAGCCCCGCAATAACATCATCCAATAGCGGGCTAAACGACAGCAACACAACGCCTGCACTCTCTGGCATCGCTGGTTTGAGAAGGCAAGGGGCAGGGGGATCATAATTTGGAGCGCGGCATCGTACCCTGCTCGCCGCCGCTGCTGACGCCGCCGCCGATGCTGCCAGCTGCAGCAGGACCGATGGCGCGCACCTTGGCCCCCATGGGGCCGCGCACCTCCAGCTTGACCCCGCCGTCCACTGCCTTGGGCGTCGTCTCCCCCAGCAGCTTCGCCTGGCGCATCTTCACCCTGTGGGTGGCGAGGATAGGTGTCAGCGGGGCCGTCGGCGGGAGGGGAGGCAGCAGGGTGCTCGCGGCCCGGGGCGGGCGGGGAAGCGGACAGGGGGCGGGTATGGTGGACGTGGCGGCGGTCAGCAGGGAATGCAGTCGGGTGACTGCAGCTGAACCAGCGAATCACACAGGACGGCTCTGCTGGCGCACGACCTCCCACCTCACCCCTGCCGGCCGCCTGACAAAGCCCGCTCCTAGCCCGAACGCAGCCCATGGCTGCTTTCGGCACCGCCAGCACGCAGCCGGCGCGAAGAAGACCCCCCCTTGCCTGTTGAACTCGGCCTCGCAGCCCCCGAGCAGCTTGTCCGGGTACGTGATCGCCGACGCGGCGGCGTAGTCGCCGCGGTCCCAGCGCCGCAGCACGACGCGCATCGTTGAGACGTGAGCCACCAGCTGCAGCAGCTCGGGCACGAGGCGCGCATTGTCGAGCATGTCTGGCCGCGTGGAGGGGTGGGTGGCGGGCTTGATGCCGCGGCCTGGGGCAGCGCTTGGCGCGGTCTCCAACAGTAAGCATTTGGCAAGAGAAGTGATGTGACGAGAATAAATCGCGGTGGGGGGACGATCAAGGTGCTCGCGGGTTTACGACATATGCATGCACGTGCGGCCGCCGGCGGGCTTGAGGGCGCAAGGGCGGGGGG